GAGAGGGCCCAGCCTGAGCCCTTTCTGCAACGGATCCGAGAGGTGAGGGGCAACAGAGTGGAGGGGGACAGAGGAGATGGTGGAAGTGAGGAAGCCTGGGCAGGTGTGCAGGACAGGTCTGCAGCAGGAGGGGACAGTGTGCCAGCACGGCCTAGAAGCCAAGGATAACAAGAGCCTAGAATGGCCAATGGGTCATGATGAGATGAAGGGGACCCTGGCTGGAGTTGTCAGGAGCAAGGCCACAGGTGGCTGAGAACAGGGTGGATGAGGAAGCAGGAATGAAAGAGCGAGCATTCTGAGAACAGCTGACATTAAAAGAGGCTAAGAAGCAGACTGCAGACGTCGGCAGAGGGTGGGCCCCGGGCGTCCTGGCTAACAGGCTGGTTATGTGTCTTAGCTGACGGAGGAGTCTAGAGAGGGTCGAGTCTGGCAGGAGTTGCAGAACCTGCAGGAGAGGCTGGGGCACGTGGGATTACTCCACCTCTGAGGGGTTGTAGATGCCGCCAGCCGGCACCTGGTCCCGCTAAGGTCAGCTGCATGCTCAGGCGTGGGGAGAAACAGTGCAGAGCACACAGACAAGGATGAAGTACCACAGACAAGTACCACACTGGGCGTTGTGTGAAGGCAGCATCTTCCTCCTTTCCCGCTTCCCAAGAAGGGGAGGGGAGAGAGGGACAGAGGACGGGGATCTGTAGTGACCCCCAGAGGGACAAAACAGACCTCGGGCTCTGGGCCAGGATGGGCCACCTTCAGTGGTTGGGTTTTTCTCTTGATTCTGGCCTTCCCTTTTCCCCAATCTCATGCTGTGACATTGAACTTTCTCCATGGTACAAGGGTAGTCATAGACACAGGAGCTTGCTTGGGCACCAGGTCCTGCCCTTCCAGGGAAGAGAGGGGACATATCCCAGCCATCTAGACAGTCTCTCTCAAGGACCCCTCAAGCTAGCCTTCTAAGCATCTCTCATGTGTCCCCAGACATAGAAGCCACAATGGTCCCTGTATCAGCAGTTAAGACCTAGGCAGAGAGCCGGGCGGTGGTGGCGCACGCCTTTAATCCCAGCACTCGGGAGGCAGAGGCAGGCGGATCTCTGTGAGTTCGAGGCCAGCCTGGTCTACAGTGCGAGATCCAGGACAGGCACCAAAACCACACAGAGAAACCCTGTCTCGAAAAACAAAAAACAAAACAACAAAAAAAAGACCTAGGCAGAGAGGCCCAGGGCTGGTAGTCAGCCTGACTCTTATAGGTGTGTGCAAACTGAATTTCACCATCCCATCCTCTTTTCTGGGGACATTTTACTTAGGGACAGATAAAAACAGGAACATCCCAGCAGGATACAGAAGCATCTCTGCTTGGCCTGACTCCCTTTACCCAAAGATGTCCCAAATCCCACAGGGAGCCCCAGAGAGGATCCCTGGATGCTGAGCTTCCCAAAACTCCTCCCAGAGATTTTCTAAGAGTCCAGCCACAAATGTGGGTGTGAACTTACCTGAGACGGTGACCACGATGTACTGCTGGGCCACAGGGGATGGGGCAGGTGTGGCAGGCTGTGAGGGTGCAGGGGCAGCCGGAAGCTCTGCCACATACTGCTTCTGGCTGCCCGGAGGCTGTGTCTGGGGCTGGGGGCTCTGCAGCTCGGTGACATACTGGGGCTGGGGGGTCGCTGCAGCAGGAGGCTGGGGTGCTGTTGGGGGTGGTGGCTGGGGCAGGGTCTGGGGTGGGGCTTGTGGCGGCTGGGATGCTTGTGGGGCTGCCTGTAGCTCAGTAACATAGGACTGTGTTGCCATGCCAACAGTGAGTGATAATAAATAAGGCGGTTTTCCTCTTCCTTGAGAAGAAAAGCGGGGGAGAGAGAAACAGAAAAACAAAAGAAGAAAAAAAAAAAGAATTAATCTATCAGCAGAGGAAAATGGACAGCTCCCAGCTCCCTGGAGATGTCTTTGGACTCATCACTAACTTGATTAAATCTCTGGCTAGATGCAATGGACCATCCCTGTAGGAGATCTGGGAGTAGATAGAGACAGGATTCCCCACCCTCATCCTGAGCTGTGACTGTGGCTCTTGCCCTCCAACACCCCCTTCATCTCCCCCCCCTCCCCCCTCCTGCACCTGAACATGCCTATAGTGCCTCAGGACAACTCTCCAGACTGCAAGTGGCTCTGTGTTCCTCTCCACAAATGTTATGACTGTCACTTGGGTCAAGCGGTGAGCATCTGGAGCACCTGTCCTTCCTCTCACCATCGAACCAATGACACCTCTCCCCTTTGAGACAGGATCTCACTCTGTAGCCCTGGTTGGCCTTGAACTCACAGAGATCTGCCTGCCTGTGCCTCCTGAGTGCTGGAATCTCTTTTCTTTGGTGCTCTGGGGATGGGACCCAGGACCGTGCACACGCCAGGCAAACACTCTACCACTAAGCCATAGCCTCAGCATGGGTCTTCTGCAACAGGCCTTCCCTGTGTAGTCCAAGCTAACTGTGTATTTGTGACCCTTCCGCGCCCAGCCTCTGGAATGACATATGCCACTATGCTACCTTCAAGTGGGCATCTCCTAGGCCTCCTGCTGACATGCGCATTCCAGATCTGCCAAGCTGACAACCAACACCAACCATCACATACTCCATTTTAGATTTGCAACCACCACGGTGGATGGAGACTGAGTTTGCCAGATGAGCTGACGCTCAGAGAAGGTAAGATGCTAGCCCCAGGCCACACAGCAGGGAAGTGGTAGGTCTGTCTGAACCCTTGACAGCTCATGGGTGGAAAGGCAAGTCACAGAGAAAGCTGTCTCTCAGAGTCAGAGCCCAGTGGCCATCTGAGGGTCGTCACAGCAGGATGCCATTCACAGGCCCTGAGGCAGTAATGGATCTGCAGGTTCAGGGTGGGGGGCTTCTGAGGGAGGAGTAGCTGATCCTCTGGCCAGCGCAGAAGCTTTCCTGGCGGCACTGGACCTATCCTTGCATGAGATGGGCAATGCCTTTGGAGGGTGCCCATTCCCAGCACCTCAAGGAGAAACTGCAGCCCTCAGCTGTGTCCTTGTCCTGCCCTGGGCTCTGGAGGTGATCCTATGACCCTGAACCACAAAGCACCCAGCTGGGAGCCTGCCAACTGGGAGGCTTCGGCATTGACCTCTGGCACCACCGTACCACGGCACATCAGCAGGCTGACCTCTAGAGCAGGGCAACCTGGCGTGAGATCTCTAAGGGGAGAGCTGCAGCCAAACAACAGATACTGCTGACCCTGCAGCCCCTGGCTCAGCACGCAGAACCCACACATACTGTCTATCACTAACTTGACTCAGTCCCAAGGCTCATGGCCTATGCTGGGTGCTCTCAGCACCAGTGAACAGTAGCCCAGAACACCGCCTGAACCTTAATGACTTCTAACACTCAGCAGACAACAGCTTCCTTGTCCTTCCTACCAGAGGCCCTGCTACCTTCAGCCTTAGGACCACAGAGCTGGGGAATCAGCCTGAGCACTAGAGGGACCAAATGACAGTGCAGCCTTAACATGTGCCCACTTCCTGTGCCTGCCTCTCCGGAGAGCTAGGCTTCACCCTCGGATGGTAAATTCAGGAGGATCCCTAGCGGGAAGCAGAGAAACAGCCCCGCACAGGGACAATGCAGAGCTTGAACTTAACCACTCCCAGGGGGAAAAGGAAGGGAGAGGAAGAGGAAGGGAGGAATGAGCAAAGTACTGAGGGCTGATTGCAACACAGTCCCCAGACAAGAGTGCTCCCCAGGAACAGGGCTTCAGGCACTCTGTCCCCAGACAAAAGGGCTCCCCAGGAACAGGGCTTCAGGCACTCTGTCCCCAGACAAAAGGACTCCCCAGGAACAGAGCTTCAGGCACTCTGTTGGGGAATATTATGTTAAGGTGTGTTACTTTTGTTTATGGTGCATTTGTTTAACTCTATGAAGCTGTGTTACTGTGCCTGTCTAAAACACCTGATGGTCTGTCTAATAAAGAGCTGAGTGGCCAATGGCAAGGCAGGAGAAAGGGTGGAAGGGGCTGGCAGGCAGAGAGGATATAGAAGGAGAAATCTGGGAGAGGGAGATCAAGGAAAGAAGTAGTCAGAGAAGGAGGAGGACTCCAGAGGCCAGCCACCCCGCTACACAGCAAGTTGGAGTAAGAGAGTAAACTTTACAGAAGGAAGAAAAGGAAAAGCCCAGAGGCAAAAGGTAGACGGGGTAATTTAAAGGTAAGAAGAGCTGGCTAGAAACTAAGCCAAGCTAAGGCCGAGCATTCATAAGTATGAATAAGCCTGTGTGTGTGTGTGTGTGTGTGTGTGTGATATATTTGGGAGTTCGGCTGGGTGGTGGGCCCCCAAAAGACCAAAAAAAAACAAAGACCAAACACAACAACAAAATGTACCAACTTGGGGCTCTCAAATATCCATCTAGAGCCTGAGAAAGCGGAACAAACAAAAAAAGGGGACATGGCTCCTTTAAGAGTTTCAGCCAGACAGTTTCTGCCAATCAGTCAGTGAGCTCTTGAGCAGCAGTTCCTACATGAAGTAGGAACAAAAAAAACTAGGTAAAAACACCTGCCACCGTGCAAGCATCAGCATTCTAGAACACTAGGAAGGTTGAATGCAGTTCCTGATCAGACAAACCTCTGGACAGCCGTGAGTTTTACGCTTGGCTTTCAGGACCTGAGAAGCCAGTGGATCCAACTGAGAGTCACACACGGAGAATCAAGGTGTAGGTTAGCAGTCTAAGGTTTGCTCGTATGGTCAAAAAAGGCTGAAGACATGCAATAAAAGAGGTCCAGACGGAAAAACCTCTAAGCAGATTACAGTGTGTTCAACAATGTGCGTAGGCTTAAGAAAAGGAAAAGGGCCGGGCGGTGGTGGTGCACGCCTTTAATCCCAGCACTCGGGAGGCAGAGGCAGGTGGATCTCTGTGAGTTCGAGGCCAGCCTGGTCTACAGAGCGAAAAAGATCCAGGACAGGCACCAAAGCTACACAGAGAAAACCTGTCTCAAAAAACAAAAACAAAAACAAAAAAAAAAAAGGGGGGGGGAGGGTATAGTCATAGGAAAAAAAGAGAATAGTCTATAAAATAAAGTCTTTAAAGAGAGACTAAAAAGTAATATAAAAGAAAAAAGCCACATAAGATGGGAAATATACAAGGAGTCTGGATCCCATATATTATTGTGTTGATTTTGAATTTTTTTTGATTGTTGAAAAGCAAAGGACAGCTGCAAAGAGATCTGGAATTGAAAGAGGGACTGTTGAAATCAATCAGCTTATGTACTTTAGGAATGCCTTAACTTTTAAAAAGTCAAAAAATATATTTGCTGACTGGAAATCAAAAAATGCTCTGGAGTTTTGTTCCCACAGGAGATGAGAGGCTGTGGATTTCTTCAGGGTTAATATGGATCAGGTTTGATCAGGGGAGACCTCCTGAAACTTGATAGGTGATATCTATCAGCAAAGATTACTGCTGGTCTTCCCAGGACTTGGTCATTATCTCAAAATTTTCTCTCTGGGACCCTAAAGATGCTTCACCCACAGACAAATAGGAAGCAGTTTGGAGAAAACGACATCCACATTCCCAAGAGGGTGTGGGGGGCTTTGGTTATTTGGTTATTTGGTGGGTTATGGATGTTTGCTATTATTTAGGGGAATATAGTATATTGATATAAATTCAAAGTTATTTTTGTTACACTGTATATATGTTTCTACTCTTGTTTAAAGGATTTTTGTATTTTGATAAAAATTTTAAGGTCATTTTTGTTAGAACATATTGTATATATGTTTCTATTGTTTAAGGTATTGTACCTATGCAGTTTATTTAAAAATATAAAGTCCTAGTTTTTGAAAGCTGATATTATAAACTATATAGGATAATCAGGAAATATAGGTTAGTGGTTAGTCATTTATAACAACCAGATTTGTAGATGGTAGGTGTGCTTTCCAGATCATATAGATAGATAGATGGTCTTCAAACCTTTCAAAGACCTACAGAATATGGCATTTTATGTTTTGGTAACAAAGTTTTTCCATGACAATGAGACACATCTGTTCCTGGCAGCACCAATTTACTTCAGAGATGATGGACATTGAAGAAACTCCTTATGGAGTTTGCTTTCATTGTAGCAAAGTTAGCCACTGGGCAAAAAACCGTTTTTGCCTTTGACTGTTTGACTATGTGCTGTGCAGACTGGATGTGCAGGACACACAGGAAAAAAAAGACTTTGCCAAAACAAGGCAGAACAGTCCTTCAAATTTCCTGCTTCAATGAAAAGTCTGCCAGATACTCTAGGCATGTAGGCTAAAGATGGATGCCCCAACATTGCAGAGAACTCTGGATGACTGTCCAGGAAGCCAAATGTCTCTGTTGTTTGATAATATTACATCCTTCTGGGTCTTTGATAGAGTTGAAGACTAGACAGTTATAGTTAAGGTTTTCCTTAATTATGACAGTAAGTTAGGTGTAAAACTTTGGATTCACTAAGATAGGGTAAATAATGCATTATTTTCTCTGAATACACTAACTATAAATAGACAGAATATTGTGAATGTAATCCTTACTTGATAATTGTTATTATATATAGGCTTACTATGTTTACGTTAAAACCCTTTCATTTTTATTTAGTCAAAAAGGGGGAAATGTTGTAGAATATTATTTTAAGGGATGTTACTTTTGTTTATGTTGCATTTATTTAACTCTGTGAACCTGTGTTACTTTGTCTGTCTGATGGTCTAATAAAGAACTGAACAGCCAATAGTGAGGCAGGAGAGATAAATAGGCAGGGCTGGAAGGCAGAGATGATAAATAAATAGAAGGAGAAATCTGGGAGAAGGAAGGAGAGATCTAGGAGCCAGAGAAGGAGGAGGACATCATGGGCCAGCCACCCAGCTTCACAGCAAGACAGAGCAGGAGTAAGAGTTACACAAGGAAGAGAATGGAAAAAGCCCAGAGGCAAAAGGTGATGGGATAAGTTAAGAAAAGCTGGCTAGAAACTAAGCCAAGCTAAGGCCAGGCATTCATAAGAATAAGTCTCCGAGTACGATTTATCTGGGAGATGGATGGCGGGCCCCCCAAAAGAGTAAAAAAAACACTCCTCATATGTGTGTATGACACATGTGTGTGTGTGTGTGTGTGTGTGTGTGTGTGTGTGTGTGTGTGTGTGTGTGAGAGAGAGAGAGAGAGAGAGAGAGAGAGAGAGAGAGAGAGAGAGAGAGAGAGTCAGTGTAGCCCTGGAACTACCTGGTGCTTGGCCAACCTGTGAGAGCCCAGAGGATGAACAGTGGTTCAGACTACAGGGCCCAAGCAAGATATGGGGCAGCAGGCAGCCTCAATATCACCCCATCCCACCCCTGCCAAGGACTTAGGCATCAAGACAGGAAAGAGGCCATACCCCACCACACAGAGAGCACCACATCTTCTTGCTATTGTTAAGGGACTGCATCCAAGCCAACCTGGCTCAGGGTTTGTAGCCATTAGCATCTGCCTCATATGAACCTTTTCCTAAACATTTGTTATTGACTGTCTTCTGTGCCTTAGTTTACCTATCTGTGAACAGTGTTCATAGGACCACTGTAAATCACTTAGCAGCCAGCTGGTACTATGGACAGTAAACGCTGTTCCTGCCATCCATTCACAACTATGCATGCACCTAACAGGCAGTCCCTGGGGAGGTGGCTAACATGCAGATCACCGGGTTCTGTTGCTCGGAAGTCTGTGGTGGCCCCAAGTATAACTTAGCTAGTTATAACTAATAACTCCAGAAGTTCAGGACTACCTACCCTAGCCCAGGCTGCCACAGAGCCAGCTGCTCTCTGGCAGGAAAGGGTTCCAAAAGCCTATGCTCATGGGTCCTTCTCTGAGGACTCACCCATCCCCCCACATGAGCAAGGTCAAGCCTGGGGCTCTCTAGAGGCCAATGAATCACACATGTAGATGTGGCATGCATATTTCCCATGCACCTGAGCATAAGACCCTTGTTTCATGGAAGGTACTACACAGAAAAGGAACCTGCAGGAAGCCCACGTGCGCTGTCAATGACCTGCTGAACCAATCACTAACAACATGGTCTTCAAAGCCAACGGCTAGTTTCTGGTGAATGCTCGAACCCATTCCTTGAGAGTAACTATGTTTGGTTCTGTGGGCAGACAGTGTCTGTTGGTACCCAATTGGCTCTGCCAATGCACTGTGACAGAGCAACAGGTGAGCAGGTGTGCAGACTGGGGGCAAGAAAACCAACTCGAGGCACAGACTTGAATTTTATGACTTTTTATGACATGAAATTCATAAAATATTCACATTATAAAGTATTCTTTTGACCTTTTCTAATCATCCCAAACTGTAAAAATCATTCTTAGCTCTCACTCATACACAGACAGCAGGGCTGGAGGTGCAAGGCCGTAGAGCCCAGCCCAGCCTATGTAAGGAGAGGTTGCATCCCGTCATCAAACACAGGCAGCAGGCTACAGCTGATATGATAGATCCAGGTCACAAATGTCAGATTCTAGGACCAAATGGTTACAAGACAGAGAAACTACTCAGCTCATCTGTAGAACAGCTTTGGTAATGGACTTGGAGGGAAGTGGGAAAGTCGGGTATAGCGCTGCACCCCACCCTGTCCTTGTCTGATTGACTTGGCCAGTCATCTGACTCGGATTCTGGGCTGGCTACTTCTCCTTTAGACATCTGTGACGCTGCATCTTCACATGGACCCCTGAAGCACCTGTCCTCAGGACTGCCTCCACATCCTACAGGATCCTTTCTGGACTGTGTCCTGTCTCACCGAGAACATGTGACACTCACAGTCCTTCTCATGACTGTGGGGCCTTCAGGACCAGTCCCTTCAGACCCTGTGTTTCTAGTTCTGGCTCCCATTCCCTCCTGCCTCAGTACCTCCTTTTCCCCCCGACTTACATTTGCTTCTGACCCTGTCCCAAGCCTAGCTCCTTAACAATCAGGCCACTTCCCCTGGTCCCCTGGTACTCTGAAGCACACACTCCCTTGAATGTTTTTGCCACTGTATAGCCGTTTGTTTATTCCTTACCGTTTCTCTTCCCTCGTGAACTGGAAAGGCAAGCTCCATAAGGGCCCCCTTTCATCCCCAGTCCAGAACGCCGATGGGCATGTACTGGGAGTTCAACCTTTTTGTTTTCTTTTTTGCAGTGCTAGGGATGGAATGCAGGGTCTTACACACACTGGGCAGGTGTTCTCCATTGAGTCCCAAGCCCCGGGGGACTCAGCTGTCACGGGGCATTGGGCATAGGTGCGCAGCTGAATGGAGACAGGGCTAGTGAGCGTGGAAGGTGGGCCGGTTGGAGGCCACTGAGCTGCTGGGTGGAGGTTCCAGCCTCTGAAGTAGCAGATGCTGGCTGACCCTGTGACTGCCATCCCTCCTGGTGCACAACACGACCTACACACATGAGACCCTCCCTAGTCCAGGGCTGTCAAGAAGGAGGGCAAATCCTTGTTTAAAAAAAGACTCTTCCTGCCCTCCTCACAGTGCTGCTCAGTGCTAGAGAGCTGGCAGCTGAGCCAAGGCCTCTACCTGGACAGCACTTTTTCCTGGGTACTCACAGAAACAAAAGCCACTCAAGTGCAAGCAGAGTCGGCTACACCTCCTCACAGGAAGCGGAGCACTAAGTCTGGCCTGGTGGCACAGATCTGTCATCTCAGCTACTCAGGAAGCTAAGCAGGAGGCTCACAAGTTCAAGGCCTGCCTGGACAACTTAGCAAGGCCATGTCTCAAAAACTAAAATGGGCCATTAAGATGACTTAGGATGTAAAAGCAGCTGCTGCTAAGTAAGCCTAAGTTCTAACCCATGGATCTACTGGTAGGTACCACTGCCACCAGCTGGCCTCTGACCTCCACATGCATGTTGTAGCGCATATGCATGCTCATGTACACACATACACACAAAAAGTAAACATTTAATTTTTTTTAAAAGTAAAAAGTAGGGCTGGGTGTATAGCGCAATGCAGAGCAATTGCCTAGTTTGGGGGGTGCCGTAGGTTCAATCACCAGAAGAGAGAAGAGGAAAAAAAAGCTGCACTCCTGGTCTCCAGCTTCCTGTCATCCACTCACAGCATCAGCCTTCTCTCTCATACAAAATGATAGAAAACACCAGCTAATTCCGAGGGCGGACAGGAAGTGACATCATTTGAGCCCTACAATGTATTTGATGCTTCACGTGGGATACATTTCATGGGATCCATACACAGTAATCTGAAGTTGTGCTCCTAGATGAGAGCACACGGAGGCCCCCCCAAAAGTGACATGATTCACCCAAGAACACACAGCTACAAAGTAAGTGTTTTAGGTAAAAAGAAACTGAGTCAGTACCAACCTTCCCCAGTCAAATGACCCTTCTGGGCCCTTCAACTGTGAGAATTGCTGGAAAGGAGGATGTTCAAGCAGTCGATTAAACCAGAGAATCAATAACTTTCTGTTCAAAGTCAGCCTTCCCTCATAGAAGCTGAACACTTTTTTTTCTTTTTCTTTTTTTTTTTTTTTTTAAAGCAACCTAACTAACCCCAGCATCTTCCTGAAGGTTAATGTGCACAGTCATAACTTTGAAAACCCTTTGAAGAGAGTAGGAAAAGTCGCTACAAGTGGGAGCCCATACTTCCCTGCTTAATTTCCAATGGAAAAGTCAGTCTCTTTTTTTCTTTTTTGGTTTTTCGAGACAGGGTTTCTCCGTGTAGTTTTGGTGCCTGTCCTGGATCTCGCTCTGTAGACCAGGCTGGCCTCCAACTCAGAGAGCTCCACCTGGCTCAAAGTCAGTCATCCTATTGGCTGCAGTATAGACCAGTGCCCGCAAATGCAAGGCAGGGAACAGCACACGGCCTGGCTGCCTACTTCTGCACCCCCAAAAGCAGCTGCAAAGGTCGTGCACTAACAGATGTGTCTCTCCTTGCTTCTGATGTCACATCTGCTCCTGCCCACGTGGGACTGGTACCACCTATAACATCTGACCCTCTTACACTGACTTGACATAAACATGTGGTGGGTCAAGAGACATGACTTAAGGAATCTAGGACAGCTCCATTGGTCTGCTGTTTCCACAAGACCTTACTGACTAGGGAGAAAAGTCCTACCTCCAGGAACAAGAGCCCACACCTGTACCACCGCACAGCTGAGACGGCACCCCAGAGAACAATTTCAGATCCTCTAAATTTGTGGCCTAAGATCACTTCTCTCCAGCAGGAACTTCAAATTCTGACAACTAAATCCCCCAGGCTAAAGAGTCAGATTGAAACTTGACCATCTCCACCTTCTCCAGGGTTTAGAAGTGGAGGTCACTTGCAATCAATACTAACAATTTATCAAATCTCACTGAGAAACAGTAGACGTAGTGTGTGTGTGTGTGTGTGTGTGTGTGTGTGTGTGTGTGTGTGTGCGCGCGCGCGTGAGAGAGAGAGAGAGAATATGAGAATTTAAGGATGAGTCCCGGGGAAATTCCCAGAAGGAATTAGGAGTTACTGTAATGAAGGATGGCAACAATTTTCCCCATTTTATAGGAAGGAAAACAAAGGCCTGAAACGGAAGAGTCGAACGTCCAAGTTCTGAATCTTAGGCAGGTACCCGACCAGCGGCTTCTTTTCGGGAAGACCCTGACTGTCTGGGTGGCGGCGGCCGCACCCGACTCCGAAGGCGGAGGGCCGCTAGGCCCCGCCCTCCCCCAGTCACGCCCCGCCTCCGCACGCTGTCATTGGTCCAGCCTCGGTAGGCCCGCCTCGCCGCACCTCCCGGCACATAAAAGCGCCCCCCGCCCCAGCCGCCCGACCTCCACTCGCCCGCGGCCTGCGAGCACCCGCCCCTCGCGGGGGCCGGGCTGCGGGGCCGGGGGCGGGTGGTGTCGCCGGGGCCGAACCCCGGCCCCCTCCCCCACGGTCCCGACAGTCGCCGCCGCCATTTTGACCGCCCGCCCCTTCCCTCAGGACTGTACTCAAGCGACAGGCGCCGCGCGGGCCCCGCCGCTCGCCCCGGCGCGCCCAGCTTGCCAGGCGCTGCCCCGGTTACCTCGGCTTCTCCGCACTTGTGTCCGCGGAAGGCTTTGAGGAGGTGCGTGGGCGCTGTGCAGAGGGGACCACGCGCGCCGGGGTCCCCAGGCCGGGCCGGGGGCGTGGGGGCGGGGGGCGGCCGCGGTTGTTGTTGTTGACTGGCGTTGCTGGGTTGCTTGGTCGCCACGACTACCGTGGCTATGGCGCCTCCGTTTCCCTCACCGGGGCAACTGTTGCTACCCACCCTACTACGTCACACGCCGGGGCGGGGCTCCAGGGCGGCGATTGGACGGCGCCGGGCGCTTCCAGCATGCTATTGGTGGTCGTCCATGCTTTTCAACACCCTCTGGACTTCTCGGAGCTCCGATTCCTCGGTTCGGACGTCCGTCAGAGGAGTCTGAACCCTAGAAGGCAGCGAAGCCCGTCACTCGCGCGAGGAAGCAGCCCTGAGAATTACAAAGGGGCGGGATGACGCTCTAAAGTCGGCCTTCTGGTTGGACTAGGGAGATATCAATCTCGTCCAAAAGTTTGTCGCGCTCTCTTGCCAGGTGCACGGAGCGTCGGGAGTTGTAGTCCCGGCCCTACAACCGATGGGAACCGCAAGACTTCCTCTCGCTGGGCCACTTTCTGGCCTCTCACGCTCCTAACCCCCAAGGAACGCCGCGACTCAGCGCTGCCCTTCTGTGACGTCAGCGGCGGAGGCCCGGCTCGGAGTTCGATGACGTCACAGGCGCGTTCTCCCAGTCCCAGAGCGTGGCGAGGCATGGGCCGGTGCTTTGGCGAGTCAGAACCTCGAAAAGGTCACGGCCTGGCTGAGCCGCTATCTCGGCGACGCAGGCGGCGAAAAGGTCTCTGGCAGACGGGGATTTAATGAGAGGACGATAAGCAAAGGTCAGCGGCAATCTGTCCCCAGAGCTCCCCGCCGCTCTGGACCTCAGTTTCCCCAAGAGATAGGTCAGCTGCAGCCAGAGAAGGTAAAACAGAAATAGCCCCGGCCGGAGTGAGTTCCTCGAGCTCAGAAATTAATCACCAAGATAATATTCTAATGCAGTATTTTAAAATATCAATTAATGGGAAAAAGTAGACCCACGATGAACAAAATGTCAAATGTTAAATGCGATCGTTCTGTTGCACCGAGATTAGGGTGAGATGAGTCTTGCAACTCAGGGTTGGATCTTGTGCTCAAATATTTTTGTTTATTGAGTCAGATTTTCTTTCTAAATGAGATTCCAACTGCTCTTTCCACAGGAGAACATGAGTAACTGTGAGAGATGATGAATATGCTAATTCCTATATAGTAATCATTTTGCTATACCAGTTGTGTCATAACTATTGCCTACATCAAAAATGTTCAGAAATGGCCAAGTTGGGTAGAGTGGCCCTGTAGGCACAGCTGCTTTGCAGACTGAGGCAGGAAGATTGCTGGAGCTGAGCTATATGGCAACTCCCAGCTCAAAAACTGATCTTTTTTTTTAAAGACAGGGTCTGAAGCCCACAGCTGGCTTTAGACCCCTTCTGAAGCTGAGGATGACCTCGAACTGACTCTCCTGTCCCCACCCTACCCTCCCAGTGCTGAGATTACAGGGGTGAACCACCACACCTTAAGTTTTGCCATTTCATACCTGTGGAGCTAGGGGTGGAGAAAGGTTCAGGAACTGGAGCCTTCATTCCAGCTCTGCTGTGTTCTAAAGACAAAATGGCTCCACCTCTCTGAGCCTGTTCCCGTACTTCTCCTATGCCAGGTCCTGAACTGTAAGTGTAAAAACATAAGTCAACCGGGCGGCAGCGGCGGCGGCGCGGTGGTGGTGGCACACGCCTTTAATACCAGCACTCAGGAGGCAGAGGCAGAGCCAGGCGGATCTCTGTGAGTTCGAGGCCAGCCTGGTCTACAAAGCGAGATCCAGGAAAGGCACAAAGCTACACAGAGAAACCCTGTCTCAAAAAACTAAAAAATATGTATATGTATATATGTGTATATATAATGTATGTCTCATATATATAATATATATATAAGTCTCCTGTCTTTGTCTTGTCTATATCAGAACCCCAATAAACAGTCACAAGTAAGACAGGTACTGTAGCTGCTCCGGCAATGGAAGAGAGGAGAGACAGAAGAGAGAGGCTTCTGTAACCAGTATTCTCTGAGGAGAAGAACCCCTCAAAATGAGGGGGTATGGGACAAGCACCACAAAACCTAGAAGGAGGAAGGCCTGGCCACTCTGCAGCCCAAGGCAGGAAGATTGAATCAGGCCATGGGCAGCTAGCGAGACCATTGTCAAAAGTAAAATGAGGGCTGGAGAGAGCTAAAGAGCACTGGCTTCTTCCAGCACCCACAAGGCAGTTTGGGCTCACAACCACCTGTGACTTCAGCTTCAGGGAATGTGACACCCTCTTCTGGCCTCCGAGGGAACCAGACACAGTCATACATGCAGGCAGAGTACCCATGCACATAAAAATTCTCTCTCTCTCTCTCTCTCTCTCTCTCTCTCTCTCTCTCTCTCTCTCTCAGCACTGAGACTAAAGGTGTGTGCCACCACATCCAGCTTCTAATTGTTCTTAAAATGTTTTTAACAGTTAAAAGAAAAGAGGTGGGAACATAATAGCTCACCAATAGAGCACCTGCCTGAAATCCACCAATAGAGAAAGAGTTTAGATGTTGCTCAGCTATAGCACAGCCTCAATACCCCCCTGAGGGCTGAGGGTGTGGTTTGGTGTTGGAATGCATAACGGAGGCCCTGGTTCTGTCTCCATCTCCACAAAACAAGGTCAGACAAAAGGATTGCGGAGACAAAGGAGGAGGCCCACATCTGGCTGATGCCGCTGGTTGCCAGGTAATTCTGTAGAAATGCAATATCCCAGGCAAGTGAAGCAGGCTCCCTGGGGACGATGAACAATCGAGGGACTCCAAGGAATAGAGTTGCTCCACCTGCTTCTGGAGATGCAGCATTCAGCTGCCCGTGTCCCTGGTTAGGCTTTCCCGTGTCCCATGTGTGAGCGTCAGTAAAAACTACTCCATGACTACCTAGAACATGGCTCCCCCAGCCTATCTAGAAATAACAGCAGTACTCAACCCTGAGAGTGAGAGCCTGCCAAGAACTGAAAGACATCCGGGCCAGAGGGCAGAAAAGCAAACTCCAGCAAGACTTTAGGTTTTGGGTCAGAGGAAGACTCCTCATTGTAGAGAGGTACCTAGAAGCCTTGTTTGCCCTTCCCGCCATTCCCCAACTCCCAGAAGACCCTGAACCCTGAGATAGGCAGAAGCAGAGCCAAGGCCAGCATGTCTTCAACAACTGAAAAAGGAAGTTCACAGAAACTTTCTGGGGACACACCTGCCTAGAACACCAGCCTGGTTCAAGCCTTGCACCCACACAGTGCACCAGTTCACAGGAAGTGGAAAGGGCGGAGGTGTACATTAAAGTGACAGGAAGCCACAGGGCTTGAGCTGGATTCAATGGTAGAGTGCTTGCCTGGCGTGCTCAAGGACTGGGTTTGTCCTCAGTCACTGAAAAGAAGGAGGGGTCTAGACAGATGTCTCCATGGGTACATGCTTGCCTTGCAAATACGAGACTCCCAGAACCCACATGAAACTGGGCATGATGGCACATGCCTGTAACCCCTCCACTGGACAGATTGACAGAGGGGAGTTCCTAAGGTTTATATCCAGCCAGCCAAGTCAGTGAGCCGCATGCCATTGAAGAGGGGTGCCTGGTGACTGACAGCCAATGCTGCCCTCTGCCCTCCGCACACACATACATTCCTGAACCTGCAAGCTCTTGTGTAGCAGATTACAACCTTGCATCTTGGAGGAAAGCTTTTTGGGACACAGGATGTTAAAAGGTGAAACAATATGATGTGGCCTGGGGTGGTAGTGCACACCTTTAATCCTAGCACTTGAGAGGCAGAGGTAGGCAGATTTCTGAGTTCAATTCAAGGCCAGCCTGATCTACATGGGGAGTTCCAGGATAGGGTTAGTTACACAGTGAGACCCTGTCTGTATTAGGGTTCTCTAGAGGAGCAGTATGGTAGTTTGAATGTAATTGGCCCCCCATAATTCCATAAACTCATAGAGAGTGGCACTATTGGGGAAGTGTGGCTTTGTTGGAGTAGGTGTGGCCTTGGAGGAAGTGTGTCACTGTGGGGGTGGGCTTTGAGGTCTCATATACTCAGGATACCACCCAATGTGGCAGTTGATTTCCTGTTGCCTGCACGATGTAACACTCTCAGCTCCAGCACCACCTCTGCCTCATGCCACCATGCTCCCCACTGTGATGGACTGCACCTCTGAACTGTAAGCGAGCCACCTCAATTAAATGTTTCCTTTATGAGAGTTGCCGTGGTCATGGTGTCTCTTGACAGCAATAGTAACCTTAAGTAAGACAAGCAGAATTTATGGAATGGATTGGATTTATTATGAATTGGATTTTTAGGAATACAGATTTATTAGAATGGCTTTACAGGCTGTGGTCCAACTAGTCCAACAATGCTGTCTACCAACAAAAGGTCCAAGAGTCCAGTAGTTGCCAGTCTCAGCTGGTCTTCAGTAAATGCCAGTTTCCAGAGGTGGGCTCTAATGCCAGTGCAGGGATGGACTTGCCAGTGAGAGCGAGAGCAGGCAGGCAGAGAGTGAGAGCTTCCTCTTCCATGTCCTTCCATAGGCTGCCACCAGAAGGTGTGGCCCAGATGAAAGGAGGTCTTTCCACCTCAAAAGATCTGGATTAAGCTGGACTGTGGTGGTGCATGTCTGTAATCTCAACACGAGGGAGGCAGGGGCAGGCGGATATCTGTGAATTCAAGGCCAGCCTGGTCTACAGAGTTAGTTCCAGGACAGCCAAGGCTATACAGAGAAACCCTGTCTCAAAAAATTGGGGAAAAAAAACTGCATCAAAGGGGTGTGCCTCAGAAGATTAAAGTGGATCTTCCGGGGGCTGGAGAGATGACTCAGTGGTTAAGAGCACTGCCTGCTCTTCCAGAGGACTCAGGTTCAATTCCTAGCACCCACATAATAGCTCACAACTGTCTGTAACTCCAGTTCCAGGGGACCTGACACCCATGGCAAAATACCAATGCACATAAAATAAAAATAAATTAATTAAAAACATTAAAAAAGTGAGTCTTCCAACTCAGCCACCACCCGGCCTAGAACCAGGATAACAAGGTAGCCCACCCCAACACCCACCTACTCTATGAACTGCTGGAGCACGTGAAGAGGATGAGCCTACAAACTCAAAGCCACAGGCTCTCCGTGACACAAGGCAGCAACAATGTCCAGGAGGAGTCCCAGTGAGGGCCCAGTAAGAGGGTGTGACAGAACCAGACCAATGACTCACAGCCATGAACACAAGTAAAGATGTGTGAACTAAAGGGCACTGTGTAACTCACTGGGCCACACTACAGCTCCCCACTGAGATTTTTTATTTGTTTGTTTGGTTCTTTTGTATTTTTAACCTTTGGAGTTGCAAGGGCAGAAGTGAGGGGACAGGGAGATGGGTGGGATTGGGATGCATGATGTGAAATCCACAAAAAAATCAAAAGTTTTAAAAGTGGGTCCTCCCTGCCAGGTGTGGGGTTGCACACCTTTAATCTGTGCACGGGAGGCAGAGCCAGGCAGATCTCTGTGAGTTTGAAGCCAGTCTGGACTACAGAGCGAGCTCCGCAGGAGCTATGGAGAAAGATCCTGTCTCAAAAAAAGGTGGGTCTTTTCACTTCAAATGATTTAATTAAAAAAAATCCCTTACAGGTATACTCAGTCACTTGGGTTTTAGTTGATTCCAGATGTAGTCAAGTTAGTAACCAAGAATAGCCATCACATTGTGTCTAAAAAATATATAAAATAAAAATAAAAATATTTTTAAAAAGAAACCAGGCGGTGGTGGCATACGCCTTCCATCCCAGCACTCGGGAGGCAGAGGCAGGCAGATCTCTGTGAGTTCAAGGCCAGCCTGGTCTACAGAGTGAGATCCAGGACAGGCTCCAAAGCTACACAGAGAAACCCTGTCTCGAAGAAAAAAAAAAAAAGAACAGTAAGTGCTCTTAACTGCTGAGCTACCTCCCCAGCCCTCATTAAGGGCGTTGTTGCATAGGCAGGAGGCTGAAAACAACCTAGGTGCCCATTTCTGGGAGACCAGGAGGATGAAATAAAGGCTGGGGTGTGGTGATAGGGCATTTGCCTAGCATGTGTGAGGCCCAGGTTCAGCCTAGAAACAAAACCACCAAAATGGGATAGAAAAGTAGTTGTCAGTAAAGATCATGTCCTGCTCTTGCAGAGGACCAGGGTTTAGTTCCCAGTACCTACCGTGAGACAGTGAACAACCACTGTAACTGCAACTCCAGGGATCAAATGCCCACTCTTGTGGGCTCTGCGGGCACCCGGACTCATGAACACACCCACATTCGTAATTAACAACAATAAAAGTAAATCTTTAAAAACAGCAACAAGGGCTGGAGAGATGGCTCAGAGGTTAAGAACATTGACTGCTCTTCCAGAGGACCTGAGTTCAATTCCCAGCAACCACAGCCATCTACAATGAGATCTGATGCCCTTGTCTGGTATGCAGGCAAGCATTCAGACAGAGCACTGTATACATAATAAATTAAAAACGAAACAAAACCACAAGCAATTGGCAGTATAATCATTGGTTGGAGAGATTGCTCAGTGGTTAAAAGCACTTACTCATGCAAGAGAACTCACAATGGCCTGTGACTCCAGCTCCAGCTGATCCAGCACCCTCTTCATCCAGCCTCTGGTCATACACACATGGTATTCACTCACACCTATATATATACACACACACACTACAAATTTTTTAAGAACGAACTCACTTCTACAGTATGATGATCTTGGGACAATAAGACATAAAAGGCTGGTCATGGGGCACACATCTTTAATTTGAGCACTTAGGAGGCAGAGTCCGGCAGATCTCTCTGAATCTGAAGGTAGCCTTATCTACATAGTGAGTTTAAGGCCACCAAGACTCTTTCAACAACAACAAAAAGGACTGTCAAGATGGTACTAGGGGTTAAGGTGCTCATACACATACACAATAAATGGAATAAAAATTATTTTATCTTGAGAAGTGGACACAAGCATGCCTCAGCACTTGTGTGGAGGTCAGAGGACCTCCAGTTCTCTCCTTCCACCACATGGAGCCAGAGAATTGAACTCAGGTCGTCAGTGTTGGCTAAACGCTGCACTGCTCGAGGCTGGCCACCTCCCGCAGCGGCCATGCCTGCGCACTCGTGGGCGCCAGTTCTCTTCTTCCACCACATGGAGCCAGAGAATTGAACTCAGGTCATCAGGCTTGGTGGGAAGTATGCTCACCCACTGAGCCACCTCTTCAGCCCTATAAATATTTTTAAAGATGAGATATGAAGCCGGGCGGTGGTGCCGCACGCCTTTAAGCCCAGGGAGGCAGAGGCAGGTGGATCTCTGTGAGTTCGAGGCCAGCCTGATCTACAGAGTGAGTTCCAGGACAGGAACCAAAACTACACAGAGAAACACTGTCTCAAAAAACCGGAAACAAAACAAAACAAAAAACAAAAAACCAAAGATATGAAGACCACCAGGCAGAATACTAAGTCCCTCGTGCAAGCATCAAAGAGGCATGTAATCAAGGCTCCTGGACAAGGAAAGCCTGAAGATCTTAACAAAACGCAACTGTGTTCTTTGAGATAAGGGGAAGAGGAAGTCGGGCTCCCCTGAAACTGAGACAAAAAGAAACTGGCAATTGATCTGATGAGGTTTCACATTATGTGGCCCTTGGCTGGCATGGAACTCACAATCCTGCCTCAGGCTCTGGACTACTATGTGACAGGTCTAGAAGGGAATCCAGAACCCATCATCTCACTGGAGATGAGGCATGAAGGTGTCTGGCTCTTGGTGCACTGGGGCTCACAAAGACTGGCCTGGGGTGTGGCTTAGGGGGTAGGGTGCTGGCCTCCCATACACAAAGCCAAAGGTTCTGTTGCCAGTATCTCAAAAACCAGGCCTTGGAGGTGGAGTTTTGCTGTCCTGCAGACTTTTGGTGGTGGTGGGGGCAATAGTTGTGGCTGGGGATGAGTGTGACTCAGTGGCAGAGCCCCTGCCTAGAGTGCCCCAGTGAGGGACTGGGGTGGTTTCTCAGTGGTAGAGACCCTGCATTGTACCGATGAGGCCCTGGTGTGTGAGTAGACGTGTGTGAGTAGACCAGATATACCCAGGGATAAGATCTGGCCTTAAGTGACCACAAAGCCAGGCGGTGGTGGCACACGCCTTTAATCCTAGCAAAGCCAGGCGGATCTCTGTGAATTCAAGGCCAGCCTGGTCTACAGAGTGAGTTCCAGGAAAGGCTCCAAAGCTACCCAGAGAAACCCTGTCTCGAAAAAACCAAAAAAAAAAAAAAAAAAAAAAAAAAAAAAAGTTTAGTGACTTAGCCAGGCTTAGTGGCACAGGCCTTTGATCCCAGCACTCGGGAGGCAGAGGCAGGTGGATCTCTGTGAGTTCAAGGCCAGCCTGGTCTACAGAGTGAGTTCCAGGACAGCCAGGGCTACACAGAGAAACCCTGTGAAACAAACAAACAAAAAAAAGCTAATGACAAGGCGGTCCCACCCTGGTGCGGTGGTGCATGTACTTGTAACACAGCTACACGGGAGCTGAGGCAGGAACATCCCCCGAGCTGAGGAGTTCGGAACCAGCATGGACAATATAGTGAGACCCTGTCTCCTGAGGGTTGGAAGCACTGCGTGGCCATCCACACCTCAGAGGAGCAAAGAGAGGGATAAGTTAGAGTTAAACCCAACAGAAGACTAGGGAGAGTCTGGCAGGAAAAGGACCAGAATTCCAGTCCCCAGAACCCATGGAAATGCCAGTGGCCATGACAGCCAGCTGTAATACCAGCACTCAGGAAGTAGAGACCAGATCACCAGAGCAAGCTGGTCAGCAAGACCAGCAATATCGGTGAGCTCTAGGTTCAATTGAGAGATCCTGCCTCAATGAATAAGGTGGAGAGCAATTGTGGAAAACACCCAAGGCCAACCTTGGGTCTTCACATGCATGTGCATACACACATGCATACACATGTGAGATGTCTACACACATGCATGTAGATAAATGTAGTAGATAAATGCATGTAGTAGATAACTGCATACATATGTGCAGACCTGTAGCCCAGCACTATTGGGGACAGAGAATAAATAATCACTGAAATTTGCAAGCAGCCAGCCAAACCCTAGTAAGTTCTAGGCCTAGATCCAGATTCAGTGAAAGATCCTGTTACAAGGCATAAGCAAGTTACAGAATAGGGCACCTGGCATCTTCCTCTGACCTCTGAGAGTGCTAGGCCTGATATTTAG